GAGTGCCTGTGGCTGGGGGTACTGAGGCACCGCAGGAGCCCACCTGACAGCCCTGAGAGGAGCTGTGTTCTCCATGCACACTGCAGGAGGAGATGGGCACTGCAGAGACAGCGCTCCCTGCCTGGCGTGGCCCAGGTGGACCCTCTGCAGCCCATGACTGCCCTGGAGCCGAGTCCCCCGCTGTGATCCAAGGTCTCAAAGGACCTCACCCACTTCCCACCTTGCTTTAATCAGACACCTACTGGCTGCAGGAAATTGTGCTCAGTTGGGAGGAAAGAAATTTCCTGGTGTGCAGTTTTACCACATTCCAGGATAGGAGGGCAGATATGGGTGATTGGTACCTTACTTTCCAAAAGCCCGGTGTCCCACGGTGTCCCACGACTTGGATGATGAAGTCAGGAGAAGTGCAAGTTTCTACTGTTTCCTAAGCTGAACTCCAGAAAAGTCAAAGCTCAAACAATCTGATTCATTCTAACTAACCAGAATATTTTATAGCATCGTGTTGTAATGAATATTGCTATAAAGGAGAGCAACAAATTCAGAAAATGATCAGGGAAGCAATCCAGGGGGATCACCGTGAGAATGGGGTAAGCGTGTCTTTCTTGATGTGGGGATGGTCTCCACAGAGCACGGCTCTAATTTGTTTGGCTGGTTTTTGGGCAAAGACACGGGCATGTGATATCTTAAAGCCACACTGATGGCTTTTGCATTATTAAGTGAAGTCACTGGATTTAGAGTTCACAAATGCTTTGTGTGTGTCTGCACAGTGCTTTAGGTATGCACACAAGTGTTATATGTCACAGGGATGGACACAGCAATAATAAAGTCACTCTCTGCCCATGGCTTTGCAGAAGTGGTAGAGGCAGCTCACGGTGACTGGAAAGTAAACTGGTTGCCTAGAGTAGAGCCCGCGCGGGCCATCTATTAAGTGTGGAGCAGACCACTGACTTCTCTGCACATTCAGCGCTCAGATGTCAATTATGGATATGGATGTGAATTGAAGAGCACAGACTTCATAGGGTGTCAATGAGGAAATTAGGTAAAGGGCACTTTCAGGGCTGCTGAGAGTCACAGCCCAGTCGGAATGACGCATGGCATTTTGCCAGAAGGAGTGGTTGAGAGGTGACGCCAGGGAGCCACTGAGATGATGATGGTTATGTTAAGCTGTGTGTTCAACTGTATATTTAGACCCCTGCTGTCCGCCTGGGCTGCTACTTTGGAGTTCTCACAGCACGGGGATTCCTGGAGAGTTCCTGGAGGGATTTCCGGTTGGTGGTGTTCCTGGAAGGGCCGCGTGGGTGGGTGGCGTTTGCAGGAGGTCGATAATAAAGCAGTTCCTGTTTTGAACCTACACGTGCCTCGGGCGGCTGGGTTATTTTGTGCCCAGCCAGACTGCGGCACAGGGCCACGCTTGGCAACCAGTGAGTGTCCTGCTGCCTAATCGGCTCTGTGTGGATGCGTGCATCGGACTCATGTTACATCTCTCTTGACCTTTTTTTGCCTGTGTATCCATATTTTACAGAAAAATAAACTAAGGCTTTGAGTGATTTGCCCAAAGGCATATGTCGCTGGCAGCTCAGGGCTAAGTCTAGAGTCTGTTTTTAAGAAATTCTCTCCAAAGGGTTAAAGAACACAGATGGATGGAGTTGGAGCTATTTCAGCAGATGCCCAGTCCTGGACATGTGACCCATTTTGTTTAAAATAGTCACCATTCAGAACATGGTTTGTGAAGGTTTTCAGGGAAAAGACCCTGATTTCCCTCTGGGTAAAGTCTTTGGCAGTGGGCAGTGGGCAGTGGGCAGTGGGGTGTGGCTCTGCTCTTTGCAGCTGCAGGAGCAACAGCAGTGGGGCTGGTGGCTCTCAGGACAGCCCCTCCTCCACGTGGCTCTGATGGGGAGGGCAGGACGAGCAGAGGGCTGCGCGTACAGTGAGACAACCTGCACAAGAGCGCTGCACCACGGCCACCCACTGACAGTGACGCTGGACACGGGAGGTGGAAAGAGTGGGAGCAGGAGAGGACACCATGTGTCTCTAGGACCCAGGAAGACTATGGGTCCTTATGCTGGGCCCTCTACTCTGTGCTCCTTCTGACAGGGAAAGAGGTGAAGAGGTCAAGCCACGTGACCTCCTGTTCCTGTGTCCTCCTGACCAATGAGATGTGCGTGAGGTGCTGACAGGTGACCTGCTGGCCTGGAGCAGGGAACACACTTGGCACAGAGGATGCAGCCCACTAGGACTCCTGTGGCCAACTTGGCCACTCCTCCAGGGAAAGGCCTTCTCTTATTTCTTTAATACGTCCAGGGTCTGGAAGAGGTCCCGGCACGCGAGAGGCACACAGCGTGGCTGAGAGGAGCAGGGCGTGAAGGGCGGTCAACACTCCTCCCTCAGCCTGGGTGAGGCTGGTGGTAGTGACAGTGGCCTCTCCTGCAGGAAGCTTCGCTCTCGCAATCCCTAAGCCTGACTTTTCAATGTTTTTCTGAGGCTTGGAAATAGACTTGGCGTAAAGGCCGAGATTTAAAGGACACTGGGATCAGTGGTCTGGATCCCCAGGGCTTCCCCTGGGTCTGGAACACCAGCTCTCTTCCCAGGGCACTCAGGCCTGGCACAGGCCCCTTTCGCCCTGGGGATGGTGTCCTTATGTGGGAGCTGTGGGCAGCCCTCCTGGGGGAGCTGGGCGGCACAGCACAGGAAGGCAGCAGAAGGCCCCCCAGGGTCCAGGCTGCCATGGAACCTGACGTGTGGGAGCCCAGGCACCCAGGCAGGCACAGGAGGCACCACTTCCAGCCAGGGCCTCCGTGATGCCCGCAAGTCCTGTGCATCTAAGACCCGGGGTCTCCTGTCCCCTGGAGGCCCACTGAGGTTCAATTCATGGCAGAGACCACTTGGAACAGTCCCTGAACCCAAGGAAATGTGACTCAACAACGAGAGCCATCAAGATGCTGAGTTTTGAAAAATCAAACAGAAATAAACTTCTGATCCTGAGGGCAGTGTTTGATGTTTGACTTTTATCATATTCTTATTCTATTTAACATTTCCTATTGATCATCACAACCTGGCTCAGAAAAAGGGGGTGATAAATCTGAAGTTGTTTTTCAAACTGAACAAAAATAATTAAAGTCACGCTCTGATTGCATGTGCAAATTCATTGCTAGGAAGAATTAAAGCCTGCTTTCATTTGACTAGGAAATGTAGCCTCATGCTCTAGAGACGCAAAGCAATCCTGATCAATACCTCAAGGCTGTTATTTTTTTTGAGAAATTGAAAAGCCCATTCTAAAATTCATGTGGTATCTCAAGAGACCCTGAATAGCCAAAACAGTATTATAAAAGAGCAAAGGTGAAGATTTCATGTATCCTGATTCCCAACTTACCGCAAAGTTATAGTGGTCCAAGGAGCACAGGATTGTCAGGGACACACATGAAGACAAACGGAATCAGACGGACAGAAGTTGCATACATAGCCAAAGGACTTTCCAAAGGGTGCCACTACCAATCAGCAGGGCAAGACAGTCTTTCCAACAAACCACACTGGGAAAATTGCATATTCACATGCAAAAGAATAAAGTGTAACTTTTACCTTAATCTATACTAAAATTAACTCCAGATGAATCAGTGACCTAGACATAAATGCAAAACATACAAAACTCTTGGAAGAAAACACAGAAAAAAATCTTCCTGACATTGGATTTGATGATGATTTTTTTTGGTGATTCTGAATATATTTTCATGTGCTTATTGGCAAAAGCATAGGCAACAAATAAAAAATAATTAGATTATATTAATAAAAACCACACTGACTTGTGCATCAAAGGACATCAACAACAGAGTGAAACCCACCCATGAAATGGGAGAAAATATTTGAAAGCATATATCTTGTAAAATGTTGATATCCGTAACATATAAAGAGTTCCTGTAAATAAATAGCAAAAACAACCTGGTTAAAGCAAAGGACTTAAATGCACATTTCTCCAAAAAATATGCAAATTGCCAATAAGCACATGCATATATGTTCAATCTAATCACTAATCTTTAGGCAAATGCCAATAAAATTACAATGAGAACCCATTTCCACAGTCATTAGGGTGGCCACAATCAAACACAACACACACACTCACACACATACACACAGAGAAATCAGTAGTACTGGTTCGGATGTGGAAATTGGAACCACTGTTCGCGGTTGGTGGGAGTGTGGAAGGGCACAGTCACTACAGAAAAAGCACATCATCTACTCAAAGAACAAACGGGCATGGGATCCACATGACCCAGAGCAAAGCCATGTGGGTACAGCATCCCCCCCGCCCCCCGAAGGCTGAAGGACACGGTGACGCTCAGGGGGAGAGCAGTAGCGTCCACTCAGCCAGCAGCAGGAAGCCGCACATGTGGGCTCTGAGGGGACAGTGGGGCCCCTCAGCCTCAGGTGGGGAGAGGAGCTCCCAAGACAGCATGAAACAAATAGAAACAGGGTGCGGTGACTGTACTCCTGTGGTCCCTGCAGTGTCTGAGGACACTGGGTGGTGGCTGCAAAGGCTGAGAGGAGGGAGGGGTCGCGGTTGTGCAATGCGTGAATGAGCTCAGTGCCACCGACTGCATTCTAAGAATTGTTGAGCAGGACCCTCTGTCCTAGGCACTGAGCACTGTTGATTCAAGCACCCTCAGCCACCCCTGAGCTCTGCAGGGAGCAGCCCCCCAACCCCAACAGGGCTGTGACTGACGGCCACCCACAGAACCCTGGGTAAAGAAGTGCAGTCCCAAGGCCTGCTTCAGTTCCTCAGTGTGCCTGCTCCGCCTGCAGCAGAGGCCGCAGACGAGGCCCCAGGGGGACCAGGCTTGCTGACTGGGTCAGAGTCGCTCAGGTCCACATCTAACAACAGAGGACACGGTGACCCTGAATGAGTGCTCCTCAAGGTCAGGCGATGTGGTACCCCTCCATTCTCACGGCCACGCTCACGCCTTTACAAAGTAGCACATTTAAGATGAGAATACAAGCTCGCTTGTCACCTTCATGTGGCTCCTGGAATATCCATGTGTCCATGGGCCAGCGGGGCATCTCCTGACCCGCCGTGGGTACCGCAGGATTCACAAACACTGGACCGGGTTCAGTAACTACATCTTCCCTCTTCCTCCAGACGCGGCCACTCTAGAGAAGAACAAGAAGGCAGAAAAATGGGGCTGCCATTCACAGTTAAGCCAAAGTCCTGCACGTGGGGTGTGAAGATCACTAGCCGAGCTCCAGAAGCAAGCAGGACAGTAACCAGCCCAGAGCACAGCTAGAGGGGAGGCAGGGAGGCCAGAGCTGGCCTCCCGACTACACCACAACTGATTGCTCCCCAAATGCCCGCACCCTAAAAGGGGGAGAGGGCACCCAATGGGTTGGTGCCATTTCAACTGAAATTCCTTCCTCAAGGTTCTCAGTAATTTCAATTCCTTTCAGAACCACTGCAGTTAGAAAATCAGGGACAAGTCACAGCATGCTGTTCCACAGCCGAGCCTGTCAGATAAGGACTCTCTGGGAACATGGTGAGTTTTCAAGAAAGCCGTGCAGGCGGCTCGTCATCTGGGGTTGGGTGGAAGTGCTGTTTCCTCATTTGTATGGCTCGCTGCGTCTTCAAGAACTGGACTCTGCACCCCAGAACCTAAGACGACCCAACACACAAACCTAGCCGTCCCCTCATCCCTGGGCCATCTGCCAGCTCCTGGTGTCACGGCAGAGTGGCCACCAGCCCTGGCTCAGGAGCCCTGCTGCCCTATACCGACTGTAGGACCGCCCTCGGGGTTCACTGTGACACTGACATGGCCCGTGGAGAACACCTGGGCTTAGAGCAATGAATTATTAATGGTTGTGCTACAGGATTCATTTCAACTTTATCTATGTTAATATTCACGGTGTATGAAAAGAGATTTACTTTCCCCCTTTAACAAGGGTATATGCTTAATTTACTTTAAATTAACTATGCAGTCAGTAACACACATTATTTGCTCAAAATTCAGGAATGGTCAATTACTTCATCTTTGGTTCTTTACACTCATAGATGAGACATTAAAATTTAATGATGCGTCTTGCAATGGAAACAGGCACAAAGTGACCTCTGCTTGACATTTCTGCATGTGAGGCTGAACTGACCCAGACTTGTTTACTTCCTTTTTCTTCCTTGTCCTCCCTCCTTCTTTCCTCCTCTTCCCTCCTCCTCCTTCTCTCCCTCCCTCCCTCCTCCCTCCCTCCCTCCTCCCTCCCTCCCTCTCTTCCTCATTCCTGCTTCCCCTCTCTCCTCCTCTCTCCTCCTCCCTCCCTCCCCCTCTCCCTTCCTCTCTCTCATCCCTACTCCCCCTCTCTCCCTCCTCCCTCCTCCCTCTCCCTCCTCCCTCCTCCCTCCCCCTCTCTCCATCTCTTCTTTCCTCCTCCCCCCTCTCCTCCCTCCCTCCTCCCTCCCTTTCCCTCCTTCTATCTCTCATCCCTCCACCCCCTCTCTCCCTCCATCTCTCCTCCCTCCCTCCTCTCTCCCTCCTCCCTCCCTCTCTTCTCCTCTCCTTCTCTCTCTCATTGCTCCACCCTCTCTCTCCCTCTGTCTCTCCTCCTCTCTCTCTCTGCTCCCTCCCTCCGTCCCCCTCTCCTCCCTCTCTCTTCCCTCCCTTCCCCTCTCTCCCTCCCTCCCTCATTCCTCCCCCCTCTCCCTCCTCCCTCCCTCATTATTCTCCCCTCTCCCTCCTCCCTCCCTCCTCCTCCTCCCTCTGTTCCTCTCTCCCTCCCTCCCTCCTCCCTCCCCTCTCTCCCTCCTCCTTCCTCTCTCCCTCCCTCCCTCCTCCCTCCCCCTCTCTCCCTCCTCCCTCCCCTCTCTCCCTCCTCCTTCCCTCTCTCTCTCCCTCCTCCCTCCCCCTCTTCCTATCTCTTGTTTCCTCCTCCTCCCTCTCTCCTCCCTCTCTCCTTCCCCCTCTCTCTCCCTCTCTCCTCCCTCCCTCCTCCCTCCCTCCTCCTCCTTCCTCTGTTCCTCTCTCCCTCCCTCCCTCCTCCCTCCCCTCTCTCCCTCCTCCTTCCTCTCTCCCTCCTTCCCTCCTCCCTCCCCCTCCCTCCCTCCTCCCTCCCCTCTCTCCCTCCTCCTTCCCTCTCTCTCTCCCTCCTCCCTCCCCCCTCTTCCTATCTCTTGTTTCCTCCTCCTCCCTCTCTCCTCCCTCCCTCCTCCCCCCTCTCTCTCCCTCTCTCCTCCCTCCCTCCCCCCTCCCTCCTCCTCCTTCCTCGGTTGGTTCCTCTCTCAATCCCTCCCCTCTCAGGTGTTCTTCCCAGGCTGTGTCTAGGTAATGAGCCACTCCAGGACAATATTTCTAAGCACGCTCCTTCAGTGATACAACCAGGTCATCTTTATCCTCAGTGTAGCAAAGCCTGCCTTCTGCATATTTTCACTCTGCATTGTTTTCTTTCTGATATTTAAAAAGGAACAAAGAAATAGTGATCTATGAATCCTGATTATGCAAATATAACCTCCTCGATCAGTTCTTCTGGGGCAAACGTGCTTGTTTGTATGCTATCATTGGTGTCTTTGGGCCTGGCTGGTGGGCCTGGGGCCTGAGCCGCGGACAGCCCCGTGGCGCACTACAGTCCTGTGGACTGGCGTGCCCAAGTGACCTCCCAGCACCTGGGCCTGACACTCCAGGACTTCAGAGCCAGCAGGCAACACCATCCAGGTGAAGCTTGAGTGAGTGCTTCTTGGAACGAAAAATGTGCTTATTTCACCCAGTTTTCAATGCAGACACAGAAACAGATGTTTTTGTGCGAACTCGGGCTCCTGCAGGACCCCTGCCCTCAGAGGCCACAGTCATCAGCTACCAAACATGGAGCTGGAGCAGGGAGGGAGGCTGGGCACCCAGCAGCTCCCCTCCCAAGACACAGCCCGGGCTGCCCTCGCCTCACAGCACCAGCACTCCCAGGGACCAGTAGGGCCTTCCTGATGAGTCCTGGACCCCAGAGAGGACAGCACCCGGCTCCAGACTGCCATGAGCCATCAGCCAGCGGCAGGAAGCTCAGACCTTCTCCAGGTGAGGTCAAGCACAGACCTTCCCCGAGGTCAACGTTGTGCTCACACAGAGTGTGAGGGTCCGGAGCCTCATCGCCTCCTTATGGAGGAAGACAGCACCCTGCAGCTTCCCCAGAGGAGGGCCGGCCCGGGAGACAGGGTTGAAAGGGTTTCTGGGTGTCAGAGGTGCGGTTGAGGCTTGACGCCTGTTAGGGCTGGATCGGGAGCGTCCCCAGATCTCGCGTTAGGCAGAGCAGCAGTGTTCAGAGGTGAAATGAGGGGATCCCAAGGACTCTGACCAGCAGATGGACACTGTCCATCCCAGCTGAGTGACAGATGGGTGGTGGAGGGAAGTGCAGGCCCTGGGGCAGGGAGGGAGGAGGCAGGTCACGGGGGCTGCCCTCAGAAGCGCAGCCTCCCGCCCCTCCCTCCTTTCTTTCCTCTCCCTCTGGCTTCCTCTCTCCTTCCCTCTTGTTCTTCTCCCCCCTCCTACTTCCCTCTCCTCCCTTCCTGTCCTCCTTCCTCCCTCTTCCCTCCCTCCTCTCCTTCATTTTGAGTTGGTCCCACACACCAGGTCCTGCGCAGGCATCTGGGGGTCCTGGGCATTTGCTCCTGTGTTTAACAGGGCAGCGTGAGAAAGCTCCCCAGAAGCCCTGCTCAAGGTGGGTCTTCTTGCCCCTGGACGGCTGCAGTTGCCCATGTCAGATGAATGCACAGTTAAAAACTGTCCTCTGGAGCCAAGTGACATCAGCTGGGTGCTTGTCACCTGTTGTCCTTGCAAGTCCCCAGCTTTTCTCTGCACCAGATGCTAGCCCATGGAGAGATGTCCTCTGAGGGGGAGCTGATGATTCCCCCAGTGACAAGATCCTGATGTCCCTGACCCAGAGCGTTCTTAGGGCGGGTCAGCTGATACAGCCTCATTGAGAGGTGTCTGTCTCCCACACAGGGGCCCTGAAGCTCACTGCAGGGAAGAACCACGGTGCCAACAGGCCTCGCCCACTCCCGGAAGACCAACGCTCTGGGCCCGGCGAGTCAGCTCTGCCGTGGATGCTTTTTAACCGCCTCGTCAGCCAGGAATCCACAGAGCTCAGAATTACAGACAGCCTCAATCCTTGGTCATATTTAAGTGTTTTTGGGTGGGTCTACTGGCGTTCCAGAGCATAAGAAATATCTCATAGGAGTCATGTTGCCAAAGTCACGGGTGGTCTTTCTGGTGAACACGTTTCAGAGAAGCGCATCTCTTCCCATGCATGATTTTCACCCTCTGCTTTCTCATGAAATATGAAATATGAGATGGCGCTGGGATACCTTTTGGTTGGATACAGTGAAATCTAAACTAAGGAAAGAGTATGTTTCTAAAGACATTTTAGTGATAGCTAGAATATTCAAATCAAAGAGTAATAAAAATCCTTAAATAATCATGATACTCAAAATTCAGGGCAACCTATAAAGCCCCAAATATGTTCAAAGTTAAAATGGACAGCAAGATTAAGAACTGAAAGGGAGAGTCCCCTCCCCACCTTCAAGGATCACAGTGATCTCTGCCCAAAGCCCTCTTTGGCTCCCTCCCCAGTGAGGAACTGATCAAGGCTCATGGTTTCCTGCACCAGCCCACCTGGAGGGAAAGGCCTACCTTGGCTTGGCAGAGGGCATCCGTCTACCTGCACTGAGCTGGAGACACCCAGAAGGGCATCTCTGCCTGCCCTGTTCCTCTCTGATCTACCGTTGACCTCATCGGAGCAGGGACACCATTTTCTAAATGTATACAAGTGCTGCTAGCTACAGACTTTAATTATTTTTAAGGTTTATTAATCTCTCTCTTTTACACCACTCTCTCTCTCTCTCTCTCTCTCACACACACACACACACACACACACCCCTAAGACTCTAGATGAGAATTATGAGAACAGCAGATACTGTGCAGAAAAGCACAGCCAGCAGCTTCTGAGTTACGGGACAGCCCTCCTGCCAGTCGTCTCCTGGCCCCCCAGGTCTTTCGCACCTGCTCCCTGTGAGCTTTGTGCTTTCCACTAGATTCACCTGTGCAAATCCTGCTCATTTAAAAATGCCACTTTCTCAAAAACGTCCTCTTTCAATTCCCAGAAAAAGTAACATAGCATTTACAAATTTTAAT